CTTGGAACAGCAACAAGTACATTTTGGGAACTCGACGTCCCCATGGTGAAGTGTAACAGAAGCAGACCAGATGGGGCCTTATTACAAAATGGAGTAACTTTTGTTCAGTCTCACACTACATGTTACACAGCCTTACACAAATGCCTTGATACCTTCATATACTGAAGGTTTTATGAATTACAAACTGAAGAATAGCAAAACTGTCACTTTGCTGGAGTATTTCACCTTCAAATGCATCCTATTCATACAAAGTAGCTGTCTGTCTCTCTCTCTTTCCCCACCTTCAAATAAAGCATCTTTTATATTAAAAAAAAAAAAAGTGTCACTTTCCAAATAAATGCACAATGCTGTCTCCAGATTCATGTTGATCCCCATAGTTAAGAAGACTGTGACACACAGACAGGAAAAAAAAATCACAAAATTCTCTCCAATCAGAATTGGTGTCAAGGTGATGGCTTTTGACTATGCTTTTTGGAGGCATGACTTAGTAGAGTGTTTCTCTCTTCCTGGTTTCCCCACTCACTTTCTACTTTCTGACCTCTAGGAGTTGGGCAGCTTTTTTCCACAATAAGCCTTTCCACCTGGGTCAGGGCCTGAAACCTCTACTAACTGTGAATAAATAAACCTTTCCCTTTTAAGTTGTGGGTATTGGGTATTGCATCTCATCAATGAGAAAGTGACTAAGAGAGATTTTGTACTAGAATAGAGGGGTAGTCACTGTGGTACTACCTGAGCATGTGGTTCAAAAGCCTTTGGAACTGGTTTGCAGGAAGACTTTTGAAAGGTTTGCAGATGCAAGTAGAGAAGTCTTGGTGCTGTAAGTTGAGCTTGAAGGTAGAGTCTAGTCAAAGCTCAGAAGACCAGAAAGCTGACCATAATGCAGCCAGTAAAGACCAGGCTCAGGAGCTTTCAGTTGGGAACAAGAGCTGCATTGGCAGTTGGATTTTAGGCCATATGTATTACATTCTGGCAAAAAATTTGTGTACATTTTGTACATGTCCTTGGACTTTGTTGGATACTGAGATTAAGGGTGGCAGACAAATTAATCTGGTGGAGGAAATTTCACAGCTGTACAATGTCCAGGCTGTTCCATGGGTGTGGTTGGATGCCTTTAGCCAGCTCTACCTGAGAATCAAAAGGACATTGCATGGCTGAGTCATTTTTAAAGTTTTCATTTTCCTCAGGAAGTAAGCTCTTGAAAGAGTTAGAAGTTATAAACTTTTGGCAGAGGAGAGCTTGGTTGTTTAAAATGTTTATGTTAATCAGAAGCCAAGCATGGTAGCACATGCCTATGCCTATAATTCCAGCATTTCAGAAGGCTGAGGAAGGAGGATTGCCACAAGGCCAGCCTGGAGTCAGGGAGTTCAAGGCCAGCTTGGAATCAGTGAGTTCAAGGCCAGCCTGAACTACATAGCAATGCACTCCCTCAAAACAAAACAAAAACAAACAAAAAAGCAAGGGTGTACTTTATTTACAACATGACAATAGAAATAAGGTCTTGATGGCATCAGAGGAAATAGCAATATCCCACCTTGCTGGCTGCAAAAGTGAAAGACAAGGGCTGGGGACTTAGCTCAGTGGTTCTGCCACCTGCCTCACAAGCACAAGGTCCTGAGTTCGATCCCTGGTACAAAAAAAAAAGAAAGGAAGGAAGGAAGGAAGGAAGGAAGGAAGGAAGGAAGGAAGGAAGGAAAGTGAAAGACTGTTCTGAGAAGAAAGGCTGCCTAGAGAATTTAATTCAACCATCCAGGCACTGGGAAGCCTGTGCAGCCATGATGCAAAAGGGCATGGGTACTTTTGGAGTCAGTGGCATTCCTTGGCATCATTCATGTGGTCCTGGTTTTATAAGTATGCAGAATGCAAGAGTTAGGGGATGTGGAAGATTTCACTAAGATTTCAGAAAAAGGTCTGGGAGGCTGGGTGGTGTGCCCATGAGAGGGCAGTGTGTAAAGCTGTGAGAGTGAATGTGAAAGTTGGAAAGGCCAGAAATATGGACTGTCTGAAGAAAGCTACAAGGAGTGAGCAAATGTAGCCCAAGAGAGAAGCGAAGCTGTGAGGGCTACAATCATAATACTTTAGTGGTGGGTCCACCAAAGCCCTCTGAAGGTCCTGTCTCATAACAGCTTGCCCTGGGTGCTGGACATGAAGCTATAGGCTTTAATGTTTGCCCTGGGGCTTTGTCTTACTTTGTTCCCACCCCCCACGTTAGTCCCTTTTTGAACTGGGAATATTTTCCCTGTGCCACTGAACATCAACATTGTTTAACTTTTTTTTTTTTTTTTTTAGCTTTATGGGTGCTCACTGCCTGTTAGGACTTTATCGGCTCGTAGAGATGGACTAAATTCATTTTGCATAAAAAGATTTACATGGGTCTTTTGGGGGCTCATATGAGCTCAAAGGCAGGATTTATGCTAGGTGATTGAATTATTGGAGCACTTCAGCTGGCTTGGTGTTGTGAGGTAGCGGCTGGTTAGAAGATACAGTTCAATGGGAGTGTGACTTCATTCCTGTTTCCTTCCTTTCCCTGTATGCTTTCCTGACCCCCATGGGTTGGGCAGCTTTCCAACCTAGCAGGCCCTTCCACCATGCTACTTCTGTCCTAGAGCCCGCTGACTCTGGACTGAAACATCTACAGATCATGAGCCAAATTAAACCTTTCTTCTAAGTTGTGCCAGGTATTGTGTCTCAGCAACAAGAAAGTGACTAAAACAATCAGTGTTTCTTCACACATTGCACTGATGTCATGAGTCCTTAAAGTCCCTTCTTCATTTCTGTTGAAGTATGATTTCTTGTATTTCCTTGTGATTCTTAGAATATTATCTCTGCTTGAAATTATTTAATTGTTCATCCATATTTGTCATTATGCCTTTTAGACCCATCAGCATATTAATCTTGTTGGTCTCCTTTAATTTTATGGTCTGATGAGTCCAACATTCTTTCTATATCTAAATCTTGTTTTGGTGCTTTCTTCTCATATGTGTGTATGTATATATATATATAATTTTTTTTTTTGTACTGGGGATCAAACTTGGGACCTTGTGCTTGTGAGGCAGGTGCTGGAACTACTGAGCTAAATCCCCGGCCCACTTCTCATATATTTTATATATGAATTCAGACGTTCTTTACTACTAAGCCATATCCCTAGCCCTGTCTATCTACCTGCCAGTCTATGTATCTGGCTATTTTACGATAGGGTCTTTCTACATTACCCAAGCTGAACTTGAACTTGTGACCCTGCTGCCTCAGCTTTTTTAAATCCTAGAATTAGACATGTGCCACTGTGCTTGGCTTTTAAAGTCTTGTAACAAGTCTCACGAGTTTTACATTGAATTTTGGATATGATGGTGCTCGCTTTGGCAGCACATATACTAAAATTGAATTTTGGACATGATGTAGTTGCAAAATGAAACTGAGGAACTTTCAGTCTTTTATGTGAGGATTTAGGATTGTCCTGCTGGGTTACAGAAAGTTGATTTTGAAGTACATGCAATTGTCAGGATAAATTTCCTTTGATGTCCTTGCTTAGATCTCTCATCATTTATGGACTCTCACAAAGATACTTAAAGTTCAAAAATGTAGAAAGAAATTGCATAATATTCTTTCATTGTATTACATGGTTACTTTAATTAAAATTAAATCTTGGGTCGGGGATGTAGCTCAGTGATGCCTGCAGCTGCCTCACAAGTGCAAGATCCTGAGTTCAATCCCAGGCACCAGAAAAGAAAAATCTTAATGACATAAAGATAATTTGAGAAAACATCCTGGGTGAGATGGCAACTACATGTACTTCCAGCTACTCATAATGTTTAGGGAGGAGGATCAGTAGTTTAAGTCCAGACAGTTTGATATAAAAGACCTTGCTTAGTACTGAGTTTGATCCCAAGTACCAAAAAAAAAGAAAAAAGAAAAAAAAGACCTTGCTTCAAGATAAAAAATATGGGTAGACAAGGACAAAAGGGCAGGAGGAGATCGAAAAAGGACCACCAAAAGGATAGAGCATCTTGGACCAGTCCCAAGATAGCCCAGGAAACCAATCAGATTGTGACAAGTTCCAAGTATCCACCTGGAAGGAAAGGCCTCTTAATCTTAATCTGGATACAGAGACAGGGACAAGGGCTCAGGGATACCCATCTTTTTCAGGACCCCTTGCCCTCTCTCCAGGGCAGCTTGTTTCTGTCCCGTTTTTTCCTTTTTACAAATACTGTAAATCTTACTTTCTTAGACTTTGGCTTTCCATTCCAGATAGCTGTTCACCTTGCCACAACAGTACTGTCCCTTATTTCTGAGCAAGAAAATAAAAAGTTAGCAAATGGCTTATAGGCGCATGTACATTGTGCTGTTTTCTCCCTTAGAACTGTTTCTGTATATTCTACCCAGTAACTGGTGATGGGCAAGCTGGGGACACCATTGGCTCCTGATCTGCAGTCAGCCAGTCATGGGCTCAGAACCACTCATGGGAAATCCTAAGACTTGGCGGAGGAGCCCGGGTCTGAGGCCCACGATTCAAATGTCTATACACTGAAACTGATTACAGAGGAAAAGGAAAGTTCTTGCCCCTCTTTTGAAGTAAATAGTTTCTGGTGCTGTGTCCATGGGCAGCTTACAGAGAAGAATGGCAGCCACAAAATCATCATCTGAGGGTCAGAGAGGAAACTGGGAGGTACGAAACTGAAGAAGGTAGGAAAAGAAGGGGAAATGCCACAGGGCCAGTGCGGATGGTGAGTAGGGGAGAAAAGTGGGGTCTTTGGGACAGGGGAGGCACCCTGCACCTGATCTCACCTGAGTGGAGCAGCCTGGGTCTGGGTAGGAAGGCAGATGTGCATAGTATCAGGTGATAGCTGAGAAACTGGACTCCGGAGAGGAGGAAAACCGAGGCAGACAGAGATTCACCTGCCTGGTGGTGGCCTGTGGCTTTATCTCAGGGCACATTCACGGACCCTTCCATCAAGGGGGGGTACCTTAGCCTTGGGGTAGTCTGCCCAGACAGAGTTGGTGTGCTCATGAGATCAACATGTCACAAGAAAGCTTGACCTTGATGAGAACAGAGGGGCCCAGTCTACTCGGTTGACTTGTCCCTCTTTCCCCCCAGGCTTGGTGCCTTCTCACCCTGGTGACTCCATGCTGGGTGCTTATGGAGCCCCCAGCTTCTCTGCACTTCAGCCAGGCGACCTCCCTGATCCTCCCCATCTTCAGCCTACTTGTGCTGGTCTCAGGTAGGGCTGGGGGCTACTTTCTCTGTCCACTCCTGGTCAGAAAGCACTATCAGCTTGCAATCTGCAGAGGAAGAGCCACAGGGACCGGCCTGTGTGGCAACTGATTCTGAGTATACTTGTTGAGTTTATACCAGTTCTGTCCAACAGAAATGCTCAAGGGCTGTAAGGAGAGCTGCATATACCCTTATAAATTTTCAAGTCCCACCATATTAAAAAGTAAAAAAAAAAAAGTTTAGTATTTTGTTTAATCCCAAATAACTGAAAATTATTATTTATATGCTTACTTAATGCAAAATATTGCCAATGAGATATTTAACATTTTAAGATTATAAACCCTCATCCAGTACCGGGAATCAAACTCAGGGCCTTGTGCTTACCAAGCAAGTGGAGCACCACTGAGCTACATCCCCAGCCCTAACAACTCATTTTAATTGGAACTAGCTAGTGGGTACTTGATGAGACAGTTCAAGTTTATACTCCATGTAGGCACTGGGCTGGATCAGGGAGTAGAGAAGCTATGAGAGCACAGAGGGTGGTGGGGTTCTGTCCATGGAACATTAGCAGCCTCGACAGGAATGGCTTCCAGAATGCTGTCACAGCTAAGGCTCCTGGTCCCTGGAATCTTCAGCCCAGGAAGCCTTTGTTGTTTGGGAAGAATTTGTATATCCCCTAGAGTATCCATTTACTACCTCAGATATTTCATGGCTAGAGTCCCTGTTTGACTTTCTCCTTTTGTTGGACAGGTCAGTTTACTGTCGTGGGGCCAGCTGGTCCAATTTTGGCCGTGGTGGGAGAAAACACCACATTACCCTGCCACCTATCACCCGACAAAAATGCTGAGGACATGGATACGGTGGTATTGGTCTCAGTTCTCCCCTGCAGTGCTTTTGTATAAGGGCAGGAGAAAGAGGACAGAAGAGCAGATGGAGGAGTACCAAGGAAGAACCACCTTTATGAGTAAAGACATCAGCCAGGGGAAGGTGGCACTGGTTATCCACAATGTCACAGCACATGAGAATGGTATGTACCGCTGTTACTTCCAGGAGGGCAGGTCCTACGACAGGGCCATCATGCACCTCAGAGTGGCAGGTAAGTCACTTCATTTTGCTCTGCTGCCTCTTCCCAGTGTGACTTTTGGGGAAAGTTTATCTCCTAACCCTGGGCCATTGTAAACCAGCCAATTTTTGTTGCAATCCCTCCACACAAAGAAGGTAGCTTCCTCTTGCTCAGGGGCTCCATGAATGTGTTTGCTCTGATAAGCTATGGGCATTGCTTCTTGAGAGGCACACAGAACTTAGCTATGGACTTCAGCAGAGAGAACAAGTAATTCCTGAGGATAATTCCCAGGCCGGCTTTATTATTGAAACTGGGCACTTCTGAAAGTGAGAGAAGCCATGTCAGTAACTGCACTGGGACAACTAGAGGAAAAAAGAACTGAACAGAGAACTACAATATATATCATTAATATTAATCTTGTCTTCTTTCCCTTTCTCCAAATATTGATTGTAGTGAAAATGCTGACATGTAAATAGATCATTTCATTAAGCCATGACTAGAGAAAAATTGTGTACTGAGCTTGACGGTTGAACAGAGAACTGAGTGAGAATTCTACCAGAGCGATTTGGCATGCTTCAGAATAGAAGTGGCAATGAAAATGGGATTTCTAGGAGTGTATTAATAATAGCTTTAAGGAATGACTTCACTTCCTGGGGTCAGTATATGAGTATTACGCTTTAAAAGAAAGGTTTGAAGACTGGGAGAACCTGAACTCATAGGGACATTTCAGACCTGTGGGGATGATGTTTGAGGAGAGTGTGACTCCCCTGTAGACCTCATAGACCTCACCTTCATAACTCATGAGGGAGTCTTGTTTCTGACGAACCCAGAATATAAAGGAGGGAAGGTTTCCTGATGTTTACAACCTGCCTCCTGCCTCTTGAGGGTTTCTGTGTACCGGGAACTCTCCTCTTTCCCTGTAATTATCTTTGCTGGCCCTGCCCTACTCTAAATTAGGTTTCTGTAGGATTTTTTAACCTGTCTTTCCCTGATTTTTTTTGTTTGTTGGGTTCATTGTCTCATGATTATTGAACTCCATAGAATGTTCTATAGGACTGTTCCCAATTTTTTTCGCTTTCCCAGTACCAGGAATCCAACTCAGGGTCTCACACTTGCGAGGCAGGTGCTGTACCACTAAGCTACACCCCCCTTTTATGGTGGTGGTGGGGGATCGAACTCAGGACCTAGCGTTTGAGAGCCAGGAGTGGAACCACTGAGCTAAATCTCCGGCCCCCGGCCCCCCTCTCCCTGCCAAGTTGTTTTAAATCTTATTCTACTTCCAGTTTTCTGTGTAAGTCTCCAAATGTACAGCTAATTCCTCCCACCTTGGTAAAAAAAAAAAAAAAAAAAAAAAAATAAATTGTGTAGGAAGCATTGGACATGAGTATTTTAATTTTCTGAATTTAGTACAATTTGTTGGATAGACTTAACAAAGGAACTACTCCATAAAAGTTTAGATGATCACTTGACACAAGGCTAAGAGACAGAAATCGCCCAGGACCATGCACCTTCAGCTTCTTCACACACTCAGTATTCTTTTGTTGTTGTTAGTGTTTTACTTTTATTGTAATAAGAAACACACAACATTAAATTTACCATGTTAACCTTTATTTTTTTCTTTGCTATACTGGGCACTGAACCCAGGGTCTCATGAATACTAAGCAAGTGCTCTACCACTGAGTTACATTCCTGTCCCCTTTTTTGAGACAGAGTCTCACTAAGTTGCTCACAATGTCCTTGAACTTATGCTCTTCCTGCCTCCATCTCCTGAGTATTCCTCCAATATTCTTCCCCCCTCCAATACTTTTTTTAACTGAAGACTTTGAGTCTTTTTCTAGATAAATATATATTCATCAGATACATATCTCATTTTCTAGAAAGGGCCACTAGGGGGCAGTGTGGACTCCAGCGAGAACTCGGGAATTCTTGAGCATCTTCCAGAACTTCCCTGGGCACCGGAATCTCACTCGCTCGCACATCTTAGGATCTCTAATGTTGAGCACAGTGCCTGGCATATAGAGTTTGTACTCAGTAGTTATGCTGCAGCAAGCCATGGGAGGGTGGTGTGGACGCAAAAAGGATGGTGAGATTAATCCCGAAGAGAATCAAAGGTAGAGGAAAACCACAGGCATTCTAAGAGTTTGTTGGGCGGGGGGGCGGCGGAGTAAGGGTAGGAGTTGGATGGTAGAGGATGTGCTTTAACAAAACAAGGGAATAAATCAAGAAACAGGAGAAAACAGGAACCAGGAAACATGACCCAAAACAGGAGAGAAATAAAGGAAATTCCCAGATGATGAAAGGAGCAGACAGGAAAGCTCTACAGCAGGCCTCACCTGCAGCAGGTCCAGACTGGAATAGGAAGTATCTTCAAGAAAAAGAAAAAGGGTTCAAAGATGCATTGATGGCTAACCTGAAATGCTTACTCCACAGGGAGGGATTTTACAGTTCCGTTGAAGTGTTTGGGAAAGAAGCAGTGGTAGGCACAACAGGAACAAAGGCAAACAGAAAAATAAGCAATTATCATTCCAAAAGGTGGTGGGAAGCTGTTCAAGAAAATACAGTAATAATCACCTGACTCAAAAAGAAAAGCATTTACATAGTCCTAATTATGTCATGTAAATACTGAATATTCCCGGTTTTTCAGTAAGAATGACTGAAAGACTAAAAGTAAAGCTGGCAAGTATAGATGATTCTTTTGAGAAACTTGGCTGTGAAAGGAAGGAGTTGAGGAGAGAAATACAAAGCCATGAAAGCTCTTCCACTTGTTCACCGACCCTTTAGCAGCACGGTCACCATCCATTCCCAGCAAATTCACCTGGGTGGGAATTTAGCAGCACTGTGAGGTGAGCAGGTTTCATCAGCCTCATTTTATAGATGAAGAGATGCGAGAAATGAATCTGTAATTGAACAGAATTAGGACCCCCATCTCCTAGAATCCAAAGCATGCATTCTTCTACATTCTATATATATAACTTTCCAAAGTGTTATTTTGCCAGGAATTATACTATCTTCCTAAGAATATAAGCTAACTAATGGTAGAAAATTAGCTTCAACATAATGAAAATCTCTTGAAATAAAAATAATTAAGCCTGGAGAATTAACAGTAGAACAAGTCTAGGGATAGCTATTTTAAGTATCAATTTTGTAATACCTTCTTATTTAAATAAATTAAATCCTTTGCATTTAAATCTAAGTATCAATAATTTTAGGAAAAGAAAAATACTTTTAAAAATAGAGATGAGGCACACAATTTAAAATGATCACTAAATATGAGAATATGATTTTGTAAACGCATCATAAACGTCATTTTCCAACATTAATATCTACTTGGGAAATTTCAAAATATGTAAACCTTTTTCTTTTTCTCCTTTACTCATGTACGTTAAGTAGGCCTTTAAAGGGCAGCCTGGAAACTTGCCCAGCTATACCATTTATGGTTTTTTCATGAAGAAATGCATTTCAAATTCCAAAGCTCAGACATACATATAAGCTTTGAAACATAACTGCTTATAATTGGGTGCTACTACAAATACTACAGCAGTGGGTCAAGCAGGACACATTATCAGTAAAGAAGAGGAACTGCCTTAAATCCTCTGCTAATAGGATCAGCAAGGAACTGGAAGTATCAGTAAGTCTACTGCAGAAAAACTTAAAATAGCTCTTTGCCATCACTACATCATTAGTGAAGGACAAGAAAACAAAAACGAGAATCTCTTCAATTAATTTCAAGGACTTTACAAAAGAGAAGACAATGTGAAGTAATTATTATATTAATAGGATTATAAAAGGTTACTACTGACAAATGAGAACCACATCTTATTGGGTCTTATTGGTACACAACTCACCAGTAGACTGCTGCAAGGATATTTAAAAAACAAAAATCTGCTCCTAAAAATGTGGAAGTTAGGCACCCTTGAGAATACTGCCTTCCCTCGTCACTTGCCTTCTAAACATGGGGAAATGAAAAAGTGGAAATGAAAGATTGAGTAATCAGCCCAGTTTGGCTTTTGGGTCTCTGCACTGAGTAAACTAGGAAACATGAACTTTTGAAGGCCTGCACAAATTCAGAAATTCAGCAAAAATGTATTAACTGAGTACTTCCCATTCCCCGTGCATTTTATGAGTATGAGCAAGTGACCATGCACAGAATGTACAGCTGCTCTTGTACTGGTTTCTAAAGAGGTAAATAAAGCCATGAATTAGAACTATGAGTGAGAAAACAGCATCCCGATGCAAATGAAAAACAAAAAAGCAAAAAACTAAGCAGTGATTTATGATTTTACTGGAGAGCCCTTGGGCCCACCATGTGGCAGACTTCATCCTCTGCAGCCACTCCCACTGAGGCAGAGTGCCCCCTGCAGTGTAGCGGGTCCCTCCCTGAGGCACTCAACTCCCTGACCCTAGTTCAGGGGCCTCAGTCCTGGGTCTGCTCTCCTGATGCCCTCTCCCTCTATTCACCCACTCCTGCTCCAGGGTCTTGTACACCAAGACTACCCAAGCTCACTCCTGACTTAGGAACTTTGCTCCACATCTCATCTCTGCTTGGAGGGCTCTTCGACTTTATCATCACCAGATGCTGTACTACCTCAAAAAGTATTTCTCATCACCTAAACATATTGTCCTAGCACCAATATCACCTATTCATTTTTACATTTGTTGATTATTTTTCTTTTCCACTAGAATGTAAACTCCACAAGGCAAGGAGTTTGCTCACCATTACAACCTCCATGTGGGGAACGGTCTGGCAAGCACGTGGGATGGAATAAATGGGCAGATGAATAATAATCACTCACTAAGTATTACTAAGCGTGATGCAATAATCCTGGCTACACATAATGTAAATATGTTGGGGAAAAAAACCTCACGGAACTTTGAGTTTTGTGTATGAGACAGACCATGAACAAGGAAACAAACACATAACTAAATTGTAACACACTATTAAGGAAATAAATAAATGTTATGATAAAGAGCCAGGGGCAGTCTGTTTTAATTGGGGTGGTTAGTAAAAAACTGAGGTGGTAGTAATGAGGAAGAAAACTTAAGGAGACAGCAGTCTTAGAAGTGGGCCCACATAAGTGAGCACTTTGCAAGAAATGAAAGATGGGGCTACAGCAAAAAGGAAACTGCTTGAAACACAGTTCATGGGAGGGAATGCTGAGAAGTTTAAAGTTTATTATACATACATGTGTTTAAACTGGAGGACCTTAGGATTTTAAGCAAGGAGTAAAAACTGATGTTTTTTTAAAAGCAGCCTTGAATGTTATTAGTCAAGTTGGCCTTAGAAACTCTGTGCCTGCCTCACAAGTGCAAGATCATGAGTTCAATCCCCGGTACAAAAAAAAATCCAAAGATGAAATAAAAAAGTCTGCTACTTACAGCTTTTTACTTAAAGTGACTAAAGAACTTTGGCAAAAACAAAAGTAAACCTACAAAAAGGCATGAAATTCAAGAAACAACAGTAATTTCAGAATTGGGAAAATCTCATATGTTTGTTCACTGAGTACAAAGAAGTAGTAACTTGGGCTGGGGATTTAGCTCAGTGGTTTTGCCGCCTGCTGCGCAAGCACAAGGACTCGAGTTCGATCCCTGGTGCAAAAAAAAAAAAAGAAGTAGTAACTGTAAAACTTTTCTAACAAGAGAATTAAAATTCTTGAGAAAAACAAGAAGGAAAATGGGGGAAAAGGTGCGTATACAGTGGGTAAAGTGTATGAAGGTCCCTGTCTTGCTCAGAAGGGCTTAAAATGCTAAATAACACTATACTTTGTTATGTAACTTTAGTAGAGTAGTTCAAATTTTATATGAAACACTAAAGGAATAGAAACACAGTATACAGCTTCTGAACTGGGAAAGGAAAGAATAAAGAAAATCTTACCAATACAATGGAAGGCTATAAAGTATGAAATGGTAAAAGAAAACTCCTATCTTGGAAACTAAAAAATAGTTATAGCTGAACCATGGAAGTTCTATATGTCAAAACTTGTGATATGTGCCTAAATCAGAACTTAAGAGAGAAAATTTTAGCCTTAAATACACATATTAAAAAATAAGACTTAGCCAGGGATTTAGCTCAGTGGTTCCGACACCTGCCTCGTAATTGCAAGGTCCCAAGTTTGATCCCTGTACCACCCCCCCAAAATAGACTTAAATAAATGAATTAAAGTGTTCAACTCCAAGAAACTAAAAACAACAGAAAACCCATTAAAGCAGGAGGCCATATTGAAGATATGAAATCAAGGAATCAAAAAATTTAAAAAGACAATGGAGAAACTCAGCAAAACTAAAAGCTAACTTCAAAAAAAAAACTATAAAGAAATCCAGAGAAAGATATAAAGGGGGGAGGGGGTAAGTGCTCCTCATTAGAGGAAAGGATAAATAGTGGTGTATTCCTACACTGGAATACTATTCAGTCTACATTGTAGAAGGGGGGAAAAGTTGCAAAATGGTATGATCAGTATGATACAGTTTATATAAACATTTTAAAATAAATACCATACATTGTAGGTACATGTCTCTAGAGAAAGGAGACAAACAACTTGAGGATGGTGGTTTGACTTCTGAGAAAAGAGGGAGTAGAATGGGATGGTGGTGGCACAAAGTTTCAACTGCATCCATACATTTTAATTCCTAAAAAGATCTGATGCAAGTATGACAAAACATAGATAACTCCTAAATAAGAGTGGTAGGTACAAAGGCGTTTATTATGTTATAGTCCATCTTTTCCAAATGCCTGAAATAATCACTCTTAATAATCAAAAGCAATCACTCTTCCTGATGTATATGGAATGAAACGGAAAATGTATATGGAATGAGTCAGAAGGAAGTCTTTCTGACGGGGGATTTAGCTCAGTGGTTCCGCCGCCTGCCTTGCAGCGGAAGGATCTGAGTTCGATCCCCGGTACCAAAAAAAAAAGAAGTCTTCCTGTCTGTAGAAATCCTGGCTAGAGAGATGGTGATCTAGAACACAGGTGACAACAGCCAAGACGAAGAGAAGTGGATGAGTGTGACATTACATTCCAAGGGATAATTTATAAGACATCAGTGGGCTGGACATGAGTGTGGCAGAGCAAACAATCAAGGGAGACAGACCTTTCTCAGATGGGAAGAGATGGAGGGAGGGGGAAGGGAGTGAGGGAAGGGACAAAAAAGTAATGAAGATGTGTTATCTACGTGTGCCAAAGCCACCCAAGGATGTAAACACAATGTACTACAAACACATACTACTAAAAAAAAAACTGACTTCAGCTAACATAATACATAGGTGAAGGTGCCATTTACTCAGATGGGGATAAAACTAGGAAAAAAGCAGCTGGGGAGATGAGAGAATTCTGTTCTGTTTATCTCTTATTTCTGCTCCCTACACCTCAGCTCGTAGGGGGATTCTTGTCTGCTTTATCTCTGTATCTCTCAAAGTTCCTAAGATAACTATGCGAATCAGTGTTATACACAGTGCTCAAGCAGTGCATTTAAAAAAAAACAGACAACCTCCTTTAAAAGTGACAGTTTTCAAAAAATGTGATATTACTTAATATTCTAATAACAAAAAGAAAAAATTTTTTTCGATAAGTTCCCACAATTTCCCATGTAGCTTTTTCAGATTTTTATGTACACAGAAATTTATACAATATCCTAAATCACTTTAATTAGTTTCATATAATTTTACTAGTTAGGTATATTATAAGATTTGCAATACTGTAAGATATACTATTGTAAATGGGAAGAAATTTATTTATTTTTATTTTTTAATTTTTTTGGTGCCGGGGATTGAACTTGGGTCCTTGCGCTTGTGCAGCAGGCGGCAAAACCACTGAGCTAAATCCCCAGCCAGGGAAGAAATTTATAATTAGGTTATTATATAGTATAGCTCATAAACTGTACTTATGTACCATTTTAGCTATTGTTTGTAAAACTCCTTATTTGATTTAGAAAACACCCTCAACAAGTAAGCAGAAATTCTGTAATTTAGTAACAGAACTGGAATTCATACCTAAAGCATCAGGTTTTAAATAAGTTAATTTACCATTTTATTAGTAAAGAAATTGAAGCTTAACAAAGTACAGTAGTTTGGTCAAGGATATGAAGTTAATAACTGTAAGTTAATTTTGTGGTCCTTAACAAACCGATGTTATTCCAAGTTTGTAAAGATTATGAAAATGACAATATCTCAAATGTATCCAAAAGATATATACTAATTATCCCTTTGCTCATTTTTGAAATCAGAACCATGATCCAGATTTTTCTACCAATGCTACATAACCAGAACAGTGAGAGTAAAATCATACATACCTTCAAAGAATCATTCAAGTAAATCTGTTTGCCCTAAGATAAAGTTACCAAGTTTGTTTAGAGAAAATTAACTGCCTAAAAAGTTATACCTGAGTATGTTATGATGCCATAAGTCTCAATTACTATTTTGAAACAAATATATATCAAGCACTGCATTCTGGAGTCCATCCATTTTTAGTGAACCGTGAAAACTAACTCAGCAGGAAGGCCACTGGTCAGTCTTCGGTCAGACTGCTGTGATTTAACCAACCTGGGCTTTGATGCTTGCACTTACCCCTCTCAAGTTTATCCTTCTGGCTTAGGTCATGGAGGTTGTGTTAAAAAACAATTCAGAATCTGGGAGTGGTGCCATATGCTTGTGATCACACCTACTTCATAGGCTGAGGCAGGAGGATTGTAAGTTTGAGACCAGCCTGGACTAGATAGCGAGATCCTGTCTCAAACTTTTTTTTTTTTTTTTTTTTTTTTATTTTTTTGGTACAGGGCATCGAACTCGTGACCTTGCCCTTGTGAGGCAGGCAGCGGCACCACTGAGCTAAATCCCTGGCCCTCAAACAAAATTTTTAAAAAGGCAGGGAGACATAGCTTGGTGGTAGAGCACCTGCCTAGCATGTACACGGTCCTGTATTCAATACTCAGTACCATTAAAAGAAATAGTTCAGAATCCATCAACAATAAGGTTTTCAAAGCTACAAGTGTAAATATGGTGTACAAATATGATTTTTATAAGATTAACTGTATCTTTATTTTAGAAATGGCATTTTTAGTGCCAAAGACAAATTCCAAAAGGTCTCTTAGGAAAATTGTTAAAATGTTTAAATGTGACAACAGAGCCATTTTAAAATAAATATGATCTTTTTTTAGCAACACCAGGTGTGTTGACAGATTTATGTAAGCTGGTATTAATTTTTTTCTTCCCTTCCTTTTTTTCCAGTACCAGGAATTGGATTCAGGACTTTGCACTTGCCAGGCAGAAGCGGTGCCACTGAGCTACATCCCCGGCCCTAATGGATGCATCTAAATGTAAACAGAACTGTTTTCAAGGGTATATTGAATATACTTATCTCCTAAATTCAACATTATGGTTTTTATTAGACTACAAACAAGGCAAAACCAATGAAGGTTATTCAAGGGCATGACACTATGAGAGAATGTTTTAGTAGATAACTTTGGCTGTAATGCAAAGAATGAACAGTCTAAGAGCAGCCAGAGAAGGAGAATGTTATAATAGTCTAGGTCAGGAGAGGGTTCAGAGTCCAGGTCTCATGGCTGGAGATTCTGAGGCAGTAGGTTTAGAGCAAGTTCTCATAATTCTAAATGAAGAACTAATATGGATGACTGGGAATGAGTTAAAGCAGCAAACAGAAGGACGATGCTGACACCTTCAGAAGGACAAGAACTCCTGAGAATCAAAGTGATACTTCATTGTTCCCATGAATGAACACTGACTCACCTGGATCAGGGTCACACTTTAAGTCCAATGGATGTACAACAGGGCAGTACTGCTTCTAAACACAATACAGATCAAAACGGAGTTAATAATCACTTCATGCCTCAATTTCTGTCATCTAATGTAAGCAAATATAATATGTAGTCAATGCCATAGTACAATTCTTTCAAGGGAAAAAGCTGGTTTTTTAAGATTCAGAAATATGAAGGGAAGGGAAGGGAGAGAAAAAGGTTAGGACAGGCTACTGAATTATTCTTTTATCGTACTGCCACCTACTGCAAACACTATGGAACAGCAACAACAACAAAATAGCACGAATTACAGGCACAGAGATTGAATTGTGTTTAAAGTACAAGGTAGTCTCCAAATTATGAACTATGCTCAAGAGTTCATTTAGGACAAGTGGTCAAAACTCAATATTCCTATTTCCACAGAGACTCTGTCCTAGACCAGTGGCCAAGCTCCACAGCAGCACACTGGAGCCTGTATGCCCTGTGGTGCCCTGGAAACCCAGCAGAGTCACCGGGACAGACCCCACACTTGGGAGAAAAGAAAGGGGAAAATATTCCTCCTTATTCTTGCCTAAAACCAACAGGAGCCAAAGAGTTCACAGAAATAAAAGACTCTGTAAGTGTCCTAAGCCCATGTTTTTGTTCACTTTTTAACTAGTACAGGGGTAACTCACCTAGGCCTGCCACCTTCTTTACTGCATGCAACAGTAGTCACTGCTTTGAGGGGTTTTGGGGAGGGGGTAAAGAGGGAGGCAGTGGAGAGTAAATATACTTTCAATGCTTTTCCTGAAGAAACTGTAGAACAGTAGGGAGTGGGGTATTTCTCTGAGGACTAACTACTTTGGAAGGAAAAAAATAAAGCATTCTGCATTATGAATTTTTACATAGAGTAACTAAATATTTTAGCTGTAAGTATAAAGCCTTAATTCCCTAAAATAATCCCTGAAAGAGAAGCAACTGGAAAATTTATATATGTAAGTATTCTAGTTTCAAAAACTAACGGTGAATACTATGGAATAATCTAGAAGCAGCACGTACCCCTTACAGGGGGCACTATCATTGTCAACAAACAAACGCCCTCCACACTCTGCAAGGAAAGATTTTGATCTGATTTGCTGTGGGCTTTTTTAGATCTACTACAGCCGTAATCACCCTGAAAGACTGGGGTGTGACCTGCTTGGTCACTGATCTCTACAGTAATTTTAAGAAGCAAGCCTAAGGCTCTGCACCTACAAAATGCTCAGGCTGAAGGAGCTGACTTCCTGGTCTTCTGACCCAGATGGTTCTGATTTTTATTTTTATTTTATTTTATTTATTTATTTATTTATTTTGGTACCAGAGATCAAACTTGGGACCTTGCACTTGCGAGACAGACACTGGAACCACTGAGCTAAGTCCCTGGCCCAAGGTTCTGATTTTTAAAGCAAAACAAATTACACACAATTTCTAGAGCAAATTTCAGTGTTATGAACAAGCATTCAAACAATTTTCTCCAGCTACTTAAAGTCTTCCGAAATACACAAACATATACAAATAATGTGCCAAAATAATGAAACAGAAAATGGTTAAAAGATAAATTTTCTGGGGCTGGGGATGTAGGCCATAGGTTCAATCCTCAGCAGCAAAAAAGAAAGATGAATTTCCTTTCCCTTCCTGATCTCAGAATCTTATAAGTCACTGTCAGTCTCCCATCTC